TTTCCCTATGATGATAATTTAGTATTTTAACAGGTTGCTCAAAGAGGCACCCATCATGTCAAATCTCTGTCCTTAGATATTTTCACGGCTTAACCAGACAAAGCCCTGAGCAACTTGGGCTGAATTCAATCCTGACCCTGCTTTGTGCAGGAGATTGGACTGGAGACCTCCTGAGGTTACTTCCAAGCTGAATGGTTCTATGATTTTTCCTTTGTATTTGTGTAGCAATTACATGAATAGTCAAGAAAAGTTTCTTTTCTCTCATAGAATACTCAGTAACTACACTTGGTGTAGACTGAAGATTTAAAATAAGGGCATGATCATTATAGACTAACTTGGGATGAGTAATAGGAGGAAAGCAGTATTTTTTTCTGCTATGTCTACTAGACAAGAGAAGAAATTCCTGCATTTCAACAAAAGAAACTCAGACATTAGAGAAAGCTTTCTAAAATTTAGAAGAGTTATACACTAAAGTCAACTGCCCAGAGAGTTTGGGGAACGTCCATTACTCAAGTTTTTTTAAGAGCTGGTCAGACATACATCTGTCAGGAATGGCTGGATGTCAATGATCTCCGTGAGACTAAATGGAATAAATACAATGACACCTGGCGGTGTCTTCTACCATTCCTGGGGATAATGTGCAAAAAACCCACTACTAAAAAACAGGAGAGAGCCTGTAGAAGGCTTTAACAGCTGAACACAGGAAGACTTTGTGTTGCATTCACATGCAGGCTATCAAGAATAGAAGAAAAAGGGGAAGTCACAATGAAATTACACAAAAGTTTTGTCAAAATAAGACAGGCATTTTTATAAAGAACATGAGAAAGATTTCAGGCACTTACAAGCATTTTTTGTAGTTGTTCTACAGTTTGATTTGCCACACTGATTCCGTTTATTTCTCGGATTTCATCCCCTACATGTAGTGTACCTGCAGAGGTACCAAAACACACAATCACCTCAAACATGTTTTTACAAATTGACATAATTGTAATACAGTACTAATATTCATACAAAGGCGTAAATAAGAAATAACAATACATTTTTTGGCTAGATTCAGAAAAGGACTTTGGTAGCTATGTATTAGCTACCAAAGATCACAAATCTGTCTTTCAGAGTGCAGTCAATACACCAGCATAAGATGCCCAGGCACCCTATAAAGTATATGAGGAAAACATCAGTCCTTTACCAAGGACACTGCAAAAACCTACACATTGAAAAGAAAGTCACCTGGAAGCATTCAACAGAGATATTCAAGCAGTATTTTATCAGATGATTATTTGATGCAGTTTGGCTTCTGGACATAGTCTTAATTTTATCTGTATGTAAACTTGACTTCAGCTTGAAAGTAAATAATTGGTGTGGCTATCTACAATGTCAGATGATGAAACAAGTATCTACTTAGCTTAGGCAAGTCATAAACTGACCTGCTGAAGCTGGGATTGGAATGCCATGCTACAACATGGCTCTAAGACACTACAAAAGCTCAACAGGGAGGAGGCAGAAAATTAATTAATTATCTTCAGGATTAGAAGCAACCTAGGCGTCTCTTTTTGGATGATGATTTCTGACTTGAGTAGCTCAAGCCCACCTACTTCTAATTCTCTAGCAGTTCTCAAAAAAAAGCTTCCATGGTTTATTATTAGCCAGAATATGTTTTTCACATACAATGAAACATGACAAGACTATTTACTTCACATATTTTTTTCTGCTGTATGATTTATGTAATTTGTGCAAGTATCCTTTTCTAAATACTGTACCTAATACCATTACTGTACCTAATATAATTAATCTTACTTGGAAAACGTAGCAACTGGCAAACGCTTCCTAAACTAAAACATATCTATGGAAAATTACCTGAAAAAAGTAAATCAATTAGAATAATGAAAAATCGTTACAATTCTTTTCATGAACCAAAATAGTTCCAAAGAAAACCATTCAAGCAAAACTTTCAGCTGGACATATGTATGAAAATCAAACTGTTTGCCTGCTAAACACAAGCACAGCCTGACCAAGGAGAAGAATCCTGAAAAGCTCTGTTGCTATGATCCCCTTTGAGCTCTCTTCTTATGAAACAGAAGCTCACTTGGCAGTGCTACAGGACAGAGCCCAAAGTTTACAAAAACTTCCAGTAGTCTCAACAGTAAATCCCTTCAGCCACATTAAATGCTCCAAACAATTCTACAGGAGTTCATCTGCTGATAGTGAAATTATACAGAAGCACTCATCACAATTCTTTTTCCACTCTTCAGTGGAAATATTACCACAATTAATAGTTTACTGAATGTGAATACAACAGTCCTGCATCTGAATTTCAAATTAATCTAGTTCACATCTAGAATATTAATGACCAAATCGCTAGTGAAACACTTTGAAAGTTCAGTTATGGCAGATTGTCTCAGAAAGACATTCAATACCCAATTCTTCAAAAAAAAAAAAAAAAAAAGCGTCTCTGTGTTGACTTCATTATGCCAAAATTAAATTGTGTTTGAAGTGAGTGTAATTGTTATTAAACAATAATACTGAATCAGAAAGAGCATATGCCCTGGAATAGTATAAAGATTCTTTGGCATTATTCAAAATATAAATCTGATGGAATTAAATATTAGAATGAGACTCAGAGTCAGTAGTATCATTTCAGTAGTACACTTAAATAAAATCCCCTCTTCTGGAGCATTTCCCATTTCTATTAGTCTGACAGAAGTGAATATTGTTCTGTTCGTGCCTGGAATGGAGCAGTATACATAAAAGTTGGGAATAAAGCATGGACATTTAGCAGTAGATGGTCATTATGTTTTGGGGGATGGATGCATTGATAAACCATAGGAAGACATTTTCGATCTGAGAGAAGAGGCTTTTATTATTAGCAGAAACTTTTTACTCTATAAATATTCTTGTCGAAAAAGAATATTCTTGACGTCTTTGAATAATGAATCTTCAGTACCATTTGTAGTTCCCATGATACCTAATATCATCTAATTTTGATTGCTTTTGCTTCCTTTTCTATTGGCAGTGCAGTGTTCATTTAGAACTTAAGCTATTCATGACTTACTGATGTGTAACACATCTGTAATAACAAAGAATGGATGTATTTCTGGAGTAAATGATTTCCTTCTTTGTCTTTGCAAGTCAGAGTGAAGACAGTTTTAGGAAGTGTGCGCTCTTTCTCTGCACAGAAGTAAGAGACATCCTACCCTATTAGGAAGAAGACAGAACAAATTCTTGGGATCCCTATTCGGAAACATGTTTTGTAGCCAAAAGAAAATTCTGTAGCTTGGAAAGAGAAAGGCTGTGAACGTATAATCATATTTTCACCAAATAATCACATCCATTTAATTAGAATTCAATAAATGTTATCAGGGGTATTGGCGTTTTAAAAATTGGTGTGAGTTTTACATTAAGACACTTCGAGAATGTAGCATAGACAATGTACAACTGCTGTTTTTCTGGTGAGGTTAAATGGGTAGCTCATAAGACCTCTCTCATCTTTGGAAATATTTTAAAATGCAATATTGGGACCTCTTCTTAAATGCATTTTAAGAATGAATTCACATTTAAGCACATATGCCCCAAAACCAGTCAGCAGCAAAAAAATCTATGGATTAAGATACTGAGAGCTGCTGAAAACTTAAGTTTTATGCAGATCCCCTGAAAATAATATTGACAGTGTGAGTAATCTAAACAGAATCCACAGATAAAAAGTGAATGGACAACTGAGCTAAGTTAAGGCACAGACACAAAGGTGAAAGTCAAGACATAATTAAAAGCCTGAGATCTAAGATACAATTAATTTACTTATCCTAAAAAAGCAGACAAGTCAACAAAAAGACAATTATTAATGACTGAAACTGGTGGTTCATTTTCACTGAGCTGAACCTCTGGAAGGTGCAAGTAGATAGCATCTTTACAAGCCTATCTTCCTACTTCAACTTCCCAACCTTTTGAATAAGGACAACTGTAATCAGCAGGACTAGATACAGCTGGCATAGAGACAGGAGGCAAACCTCACAGCAGCTACTATTTTGTGACTGGGAATTGCACAGTTTGTGCTTAATACTACTAAACCTGAAATTATATAGATCCTGTAACCCTCCCAGTAGATATATTATCTAATCATTGCTGTTATTGCCTGGCAGTTTTCCATATAGCAAGAGGAGACAGCAGAAACAACAACATAAAAGATCCCTGAAACAAATAAAAGCCACAGACCCTGTTAATAAGATACAAAGACATGTTGTACTCAAGATCACTGTCTACTTACATTCGTGTTGTTGTATTTAGTAAAAATATACTAAATATAGGTATTTTGAATGAAGCAGTGAAGCTAAGAGGCATCTACAGCACTAACAAAATTAGAAACATTTAAAAAAAAATTTAAAAAAGATGACAATACTACAGAAACACTGAAGTATAGTTCATTTTCAAACTAAACCTATGGGCAGAAGAGCTACCTTAGTTAGAAAGCTACCTTAGTTAGATGAAGTTAGATAGGATGGGTTAAACTTCTCAAATTTTTGAAATAAAAGACACTGTATAATTAAAAAGAGAAAAACAGAGTTCTAAGTGGGCATAGTTGTATTTTTTTACCCAGTTTTGACAAGTTTTGAAACTTCTATTACCCCCATTATGGAGCACTGTCATGTGAAACAATGCTCTGCAGAAGGATCAGCACTACCTAAGTATATTTGGATGAAAACCTTCTACCTGTGAATCTTGTAGCAATATCCTTTTAAAATTCACTTTTAGAAGCCAATTGAATTTCAGTTCAGAGGGTCCTCTAAAGGAATATAGAAGTGTATAAAAATTGCATCTTTGCTTGTATGGAAAGTTTTATCTTTCCTGCTTATTGACAGGTTTGATCATGTCAAGGCGATAAAGTGAATATAGCAGGAAAAGGATCGCTGTACCCTTTCCCTGTTTCATGTTTTGTCTTCCTAATTACCTGTTCCTAGCTTCCTTTGAAATAGAACAGTAGGCTAGAAGGAACTTTGGTCCGACGAACGATTCAAAAGAAAAGCATGGCAAACTGGAAAAACTAAGTAACCCTTTTAAGGGTGCAATCCAAACTTGCAGCTAACAACCTAGCAGGGAAGTTCATCTGTTTAAATTAAGACAAAGCCCAGCTATTTTTTGACATCTGATCTGGACACACAAAATGGAAAAAAAGGATTAGACTGGAAATGAGAAAACATGCATATCTGCAGGGTTTGCTCTAGTAGTGAAAACTTAATATAAATACTCAAGGTCTAGGCACAAGATAAATTTTTTTTTTCACAAATAATTTTTATGAGCCTCAACATCAAAACTACAAAGATCCTCAAGAATTGTGTGAAAATATATGAAGAAATTTAGATTTTTTGTTGAACAAAGTTCTTTCATTTTTGCAAGGAAAAGTACTGTAACTAGCCTAAGGATTTTTTTTTTTTTCCAACAGAGGATTAAGTAAGTACAGCCCCAGAAATTATTGTCATGTCAATCTCTTACTGAGCTATACTCCCATTACCCTAATTAAGGACTAAATGAAACATAGTGGGCCCTCCTCTCAAAACGCTCAAAGACATCTGCAACTGGAAGGTAACAAAGGCAGCTAACAGGACTCCATCCAGGTACAGAGGTAGACTACTATGGAATAGTAGCAATCAAAATGAGGAGCATGTACCGTTACCTGGTTTGTACAAAATGATCTAAATAATCATGTTTCAAGACAAAACTATTTATGAGACATGATTACCTTGCCGGTGAATCATTCCTCCGTGCATAATTCTTGCCACAATGCAATGGTTCAGCTCATTCATTTTTAAAGTGATTCCCTACAGAAAGAAATGTTTATACTCTTAAAATAAAACATTAAGCAGGGTGATTCTTGAGTGGCTAAGAACAGTGACTTTTCCTAAATGCTTGAAGGCAGAGTATAAATTTTAAGGTTAAAATAAAAACTTTGCCACTCACTTAAATATGAGCAATAAAACCAGATGCTATTTATAAGTGAAGATGCAATAATTTAATATATGAGCATGTAAGATTCTGGTTTGTTAAAAATGTAATTTTGTATTGAAGTGAAAAGTGTCCAGTTTGGTTTAAAGCCTAATCTGCCATAACTACTACAAGGTTGTTTTTAAATGAAAAGAGCTCTAGTGGTACAGCAGTAGCATGAATGCACACATAGCATTTTAAATTAAGGATCTACACAGCAGTATAAGTATCCACAATGGTTGCTGAACTATTCCAACTATACTGGCAAACCTACTTCAAAGGGCAGAAACTGTCATTAAAATCATTGTAATACTGGTCTTTACTAGTAGAGAGTCAAGAAAAATACTGAGGTTCCCTCCATACCATTGGTTCATCTGTGTTCTTCTGGAACTGCACCAGTCGAACTCGTGTTACATTCTCCATATCCATGTCGCCGTTGGCGCTTTCTGGAGAATCTCCGTTTAAGTATGGAGAGGTGGGAGGAGGTGTAACTCTCAGCGCTTCATCACTGTAAACTTCATGTGCCACTACATCATGAGTTTGAAGTAAGGCCTAGGGGAGATTACAGCAACAAAATATCAGACTCCCATCATCTCTGATGCCACCCATTCATTTCTTATAAGTATTTTTGAAGCTTTCCAGAAATTAAAGGAAATTCAAGATATTTGTGTCTCACTTTCTATACAGGAACTTTTCCCTTAAAGGAGTCTAAGACAAACATCAGCAGACTGCAAATGCATACACACACCCCTACCCTTTAAAATCTGCATGAATAAACCTGATTTTCTACTGTAGATACCTCAGTGAGGATGCTGCTGCTTCTCTCTCCCCTGTCTGCAAGGTGTCAGAATTAATCCATCGTTATTTATGTGCCTAGACACAGAATTAGGAAGCTACCTTTCTGAGTGAGTTATTCTATAATAATTACCCTAGTAAAACGAGAAGGTATTCAGATCCCATGGTATTTCATGTTTGGATTTGGGATGAGAAAATGTTGATAATGTGCTGATACTTTTAGTTGTTAAGTAGTCAAGGACAGTCCAGCTTCTCGTGCTGGGCTGCCAGCGAGCAGGCTGGGGGTGCACGGGAAGCTGGGAGGGGACACAGCCGGGACAGCTGACCCAGGCTGGCCAAAGGGATATTCCATACCATACGACGTCATGCCCAGTACATAAACTGGAGTTGGCCGGGGGGCGGGGATCGCTGCTCAGGGACGGGCTGTCGATCGCCGGGTGGTGAGCAATCGCTGTATTGGGCATCACTTGTTCTTGTACCTTCCTTTGTCGGTATTGTTGTTGTTTCCTTCTCTCTTGCTGTCCTATTAAACTGTTTTTATCTCAGCCCACAAGTTTTTTCCCAATTCTCTCCCCTGTCCCACTGGGGGAGGGGGGGGATGAGTGAGCGGCTGTGTGGTGCTTAGTTGCCGGCTGGGGCTAAACCATGACAACATACTGGTTCTACTCCTACACTAACTTATCAAGGACCAGAGGTAGATCCTGCCTCTATACCCAAATGGACAGGTTTCTCAGATAAGGATTGATAAATCAAGCCTCACATTGATGATAAATCAAGTTCTTCAGTATCTCTACAACAATAGAGATACCAGCCACCACCGCAGCTAGGTCAATCTATATTATAGTTAACATCTTGCGAATTTTCATTTCAATGCTCATAGCTCTTAACTTGCAAAACCCATCAGTCTTGGAAGGCTTGAGATTGACCATCTAGAGTTTGTTTTGGCAGTGAAATCTGACTCTGAAACATCTTAGTCTTCAATTAAAACCTTTAAGCAGAACTTAAACTGAAAAAAGTGATAAAAAAACATCCCTACAAGATGTATTACTGAAGTGGAATCCAAGGCAGAAATAGGATTTTCATGGCCTCTACAAAATCTTAGATTTGTTCCCAAGCTAGCACTTCCAAAGTGTACCATGTTATAAAAGATAACGTCATACTCAGTTTAAGTCCCCTTTCAAACTATAGTTGGGAATTCAGCTTTATAACGATGGAATGGAATTCCCTAAACTAGCAATGCTCTGCCCACATTTCCTCCTGTTTTTCCAGTGTTTCAAGCTCGCCTACACAAATACTATTTTTAGTTAAATACCAAACTGTATCCACATTTTCTGCTTTTCATCTTGTCAACCACTAAACTCAGACTTTCAACAATTCCTCTGCACTAGTCTGTAGTACTTAAACAACATTTTATATTTAGAGATGTGGACCATATATGTAAGTTCAACCACTTTAATTAAATAAATTTTTAATTTATTTAATTGGGTGTAAACTTCGGTGTGAATGCTCCTATTCAGGTTTAGGGATTTAGCTTCATTCTCATTCTAGTATCAGAAAACTGTTTGCAATTGTCCCAAAGAAGACATGAGCATCCCTATGCAATCACGCCTTAGCTCTGGCTGTTACAAAAAACATCCATTGTAGGATTGTCTGTGGTCTTGGCTTTGCGTGCAAGCTCTCTTGACTGTTTTTCCTTCAGCTCAATCTACTCAAAGCTACTTACTCAACTTCAGGCACCTGCCTGTATCTGTTACACTCTCCATGCTTTAATATTAAATTTCTTTTGTAAAAGACATTTGTTTCGCATCAAATACTTGCCTTGGTTTATACTGTATTTTTAGCAATAATATACACCTTGTAGGAGATTAAAATATGGTAATTTGAACATTTTTAAAGGTTCATAATTATATTAGATGATTTCTGAATGTGTTAACAAAAATCAACGCTCTGGCTGTGACCATCCAACCAATTCCTCATCCATCCCAGTCCACCCATCAAATCCACCTGTCTCCAATTTAGAGAGAGGATGTTGTGGCGGACCATGTCAAAGGCCTTACAGAAGTCCAGATAGATGACATTGGTAGCTCTTCCCTTGTCCACTGATGGGGTCACTCCTTCATAGAAGGCCACTAGGTTGGTCAGGCAGGACTTGCCCTGGGTGAAGCCATGCTGGCTGTCTCCAATCACCTCCCTGTCCTCCATGTACCTTAGCATAGCTCCTAGAAGGATCCGCTCCATGATCTTCCCAGGCACAGAGGTGAGGCTGACAGGTCAGTAGTTCCCAGGGTTCTCTGTTTGACCCTTTTTAAAAAAGCATGCAATGTTTCTCTTTTTCCAGTCTCCAGGGACTTCACCTGACTGCCAGGACTTTTCAAATATCATGTAGAGTGGCTTGGCAACTACATCAGCCAATTCCCTCAGGGCGCTGGGATGCATCTTGTCAGGTCCCACAGACTTGTGTATGTTCAGGTTCCTCAGGTGTCTCAAACCTGATCTTCTCTTACAGTCAGAGGGACTTTGCTCCTCCAGTCCCCGTCTTGTGGTCCATCCATTTGAGAGGTGAGGGAAGAGACACTGCCAGTGAAGACTGATATGCGGGTTTAACTGCTGCTTTACATGTTTGTGCCATTCCTCCTTATCCTGGACTGCGTGTTTCTGTCCCCTTGCTCATTCTGGCTCTGGTCGTCTTCCACTTCTCCCTAATCCTTTGTGCTAAACTGATCATTGTTTTGTTGGAGCAGTTTTCTACTAGTTTAGCACACTGCAATACCGAAGCACAGTGTCAGATCAATGTCAGAACAACTGCAAGGGGAGAGGATGAAACATCCATCAACTAGCAATTTAGTTTAGGATGCCATAGACTAACTTACTTGAATTACTCACCATCAAAAATACTTTTAATGGAATTGCAGCTTATTTTTTATTTAAAAATACCTTTTATAGAGTTGCAGAAAAGAATTCTGAGAGATCGTTTTAAATTTATGAGGATATCAGGTGGAAATAGAGATACATATGAAAGATGGTTTCCAACTCACTTTTCCTGTCGCTTGGTTTGATACAGTAAATTTTTATATGCCACAATCATTTTTATTGATGCCTACTCTGAAAATAATTTATGCTTAAAAAATGCTCTTCCTCAACAGTGCCTAATGTTTTTGCAATACTGTGTAGTAATTATGCAAAAAAAGGTAAATCAAATGAACTTGTCAGATTCCAAATAAAGAAGTTGAGTATCAGAGGGTATTGTTCTTGTTTTTTCCCTTGTGGTTTGTTTTTTTTTAAATCATTCTTACGATATGGCTGAGTACCATTCCACCTTGTTTTATGTTCTATTTCAAGCACGTATTCCTGTTAAATGTTGAACCAGATTTGTTACAGACTTCAGGACAATTACTGCCCACAAATCAAGTTTGTGAAACAGACACAGTAGGAGTTGATATGTGACACAAATTCACTAGATTGTACAAGCTATTGATTTATTGCAAAATAAATCAATAATAATAATGTTAAATAAACACTTATTTTGCGATGACTTCACACACCTTTATCCTAAGATGACCTTGGGAAAAAGAAAAAGGAGGACCCCAGCTCTACCTATGAACATCCAAAAGGATTCATTCTTCTTTCTATGTGCAACACAGCTCCCCCCGGAAAGACAGTGAAACTACTCCCTAATCAGATTACTCCAAACTGCTGACAGTTTTCAGCACAGTAATGGGAATCAACAGTAGTAGTAATAGAAACTACTTTGCCAGACTAGCAGATTAGAAATACTTATTAATAGGTATATTGTACTGTATGCAGTTTCATCATCTGCAGATTTTAGGGAGAACTTAATGAACTTAAGTTTTCTAATATAAAGGAAATTAAAAAAAACAAGCAACAACACCCCCCACCCCGAGAGTAGCATTTATTTACCATGAAATGAGGTTGTGTTAAAATACGCTTTAGTTCCTTTGCATCATTGTTCTCTGGGTAACATGAAATTTCTTCCAATACCTGCAAAACAAATAGGAGAAATGCCCATAGTAACTTTCTTTTAAAGCAAGCTGTTAATCAAACAAATGAAAACCCTCACTGTTCAGTCAGAGTATCTCCAAAGGATTATACAAAAGAATGTTTTTGACAGGAAAGGGCTTCAGAGAATGTGCTGCTCCCCCCTGCCCCATTCCAAGAGAATAAAATACCTCATTTCAATTTTCTTTCTGAGAGAGAGTAAAGCAGAAATTTGAAGGAAACAGTGGCTCTTTTTTCAATTGACAGTATTCCTCCAACAGCTAAATATACAGAGACAGAAATGAAGCGCTAACTTACAGGTGACACTCATCACCACCAATTGCTACTTTCACACTTGGCCTCAACTTACTCAAACAATCAGTTTAAAAGCAGAATTAAAAATACTCATAAAACCTTCTCTCCACAAATTAAATTGTTAAAGACATCACGTGTAGGTGTCTCATCTGCTACCCCACCTCCAAGCTCCAGATTTTATAAAATCTGAGCCATACTTCAGCTTATCACTGGGGGAAGGAGGAGGCAGGAGGCATTTGCCTGCAAACTGATACTTTCCCCTTTATTTTCCCCACGCAACTACTTGGACAATGAAAGCAGAGTGTTTTGCTTCTGGAAACATCTCCTAGGATTAACTGCCAGGAAATTTTGCAGAATAGGTTTTCGGGGTATCTATCAGCGTCACTGCAGTTTTTACAGTGTTTTAGTCTTCCTGTTCATTCTATTTTAAAAGTGCTATAAACAATGTTTTCCTATGACACTACCCCCAACAACTGTACTTATTTTTATAGATAATATAAAATACAACTTTTTGGTTTTTTATACTACTGGCAGTAAATAAACAAATAAAATACTATTTGTCAGGTATAAGAATTAAGAACATCTGTGTCTATCTTTCATCTTAATGGGTCACTTCATTGCATTTCTAGGTCTGCTCCTCTTAGAGCTATCTATGATAAACTTGTTTTTTCAATTCAAAAAGCTGATACCTACAAACAGATCTTTTTTTGTGAGTAAGTAATATACAAACTGAACATAAAAGATATTGCCTTTACCCAACAGGAGTATTCCTTTTAAGACTGCTATTGTTGCAGCAAAGGTTAAATGATGAAACTGAGTAATCTTTAACAGACATAACGGAATTCTGCAAGTTTATGCAACATGTTATGTAATTTAAGTAAGCAACGGTAGAATTCCAGAAATCAGATTATGATCCAGAATACATAGCAGTATCTTAATGAAGAAAAAAAAGTTCTACTTCAAATACAACCAAACTTTCAAGGTAAAACATGTATTTTAAAGCCATTACCTCTTTGGCTCTCTGTACAGCATCACTTGGAGGATTCCTGATTTGTGGTGAAGATTTTGTGTTTATTTTGTCATAAAGCTGAAATAACAAGAAAACAAACTATTGAAATCATATGCTACTTTATATAAAGTAATGATGAGCTAACAATATCCTGCTTATGTTACCATGATTAAGATGGTTGTTAAACTGCAAGTCCCACAGATGTTTTGTATACAAAATCTAGCAGCTTAGGATTTTGGCTTTTCATTTTTAAACATTTCCTGATTTGAACAGTACCATAGATTCAGAGTTCATAGGATGACATGGGAAAGTTCAAGAGGTTAAGGGATTCTGCAAAGCTCCCCATGCTTTTTCCACAGATTTACAGAAACTATATTCTTCTGCTAGAAGCAATCCTATGAATCTTGAATAAATGCTGTAAATGATACAGTCTGCTATAAAATCAAATTGATCTGCATATCCCACTTTTTTCAATAAATCAGCCATCAAACATTCCAAACAGTAATTTAAATAAACCTCAGAATATGGGAAAATGCTCTTGAAGATATAAATTTATAAAAGCCTAAGATTTTGGAGAAGAGAAAAAACAAATTTTTCCAAGAAAGAGGGCTCACAAAAAAAAAAAAAAGAGTACCCTTATTTCACCAGGATTTTCCATTGCACTGAAGAATGCCAATGTATTTAAATAGGAAATTGTAAACATTCCAGGTTAATTTAAAAAAGCCCCACTTTTAAAGCTCCCTCAACTATGCAAAACAACAGGAGACAGAACTATCTTCAATTTAGAGATATATATTACAGACTCTCTTTCATACAAACCTAAAAGATTGTGCATGTTTTAAAGGAATAAATGTATACTTAAGAATAAAAAAGCACTCTAATATGTACTATTTTCAACTAAAAACCTTTTGGCTTACATTTCAAACAACATAAAGATAGTCATGTAATTAATTCCTATTTATGTTAGACTACTTATTTGAAATGTAAGATAGAAAAAAGATACAAATAGCTATTTTTAGGTTATTAGAGAGATTTTTATCACACTGAGGGTAGTGAAACACTTCAACAAGTTGTCCAGTGGAATCTCTCAGCTTTGGAAATACTCAAAATTCAACTGAAACTCAAAATAGTGTATGTAAACAAACATTCAAAATACACAAGGGCCTCTAACACCTTCAGCAAATCCTAACACGGTAAAGGATGAGTTGATAAGAACTCCCCATTTAGGCTGCTCGGCAAGGAGCTCTCAGCAGCTTCCTCCGAGAAGCTTACAGCTCCATCGTTGGCTGAGGACGGCCTCGGGTGTTTGCAAAGGGAATCTTGTGCCCTCTTCTCTTTCTCACATGAAATACCATTAGGTTTTAGAAGACACGGAAATGACAATAAATGCAATCCAATATCACCACAATTTTCCTTGTGTTCCTCACCAATCTAATGCACATGTTGAACATTTTGAGTCCGTACACAAATAAATACAAAAAGAGGAAACAATGTAACTTCCAAAAAAACATTGCCTGCAGGACAGTTATATCACTGCCTTGGGGAAAGAAAAGTAGAAAAGTCAAGTTAAATCAGTTTCTTCCACATCCAACAACTTCACCTTGTACAACCAAAATGCTGCTGTACTCAGCAGTTTAAGCAGCTAAAAACTGTTGAAGTTTTAAAAATAAAATCTTTCTGCTAGCTTATAGTTCAGGAGATACTTTAGTTGCATACATAATTATTCGTTTTTACCTTTTCTTAAATAAGTATACAAAACCTACCGAAACTCCACCAACCCCATATTATTTTCACATTTATACACCTGTTAAGAAACTGCATCAAGCACTGTGTACTGAGTAAAGCACAGTGGGAGCTGTTGAAAATGCATGATACCCAACATGAATATTACTGAACGTAGTTTTCGAAGCCAGTCACACACACGACCTCTTTAAGATTAATGAAATTACAGAAAAGTTAGCATGAAAATATTTTAATTAGTTATTTCTAGCAATTGTTTAAAAGCTAAGTCGCTGATTTCACTCAAGTCGCTATGTTATTGCAATCCAAAACAACTGGCAGCTTACAGAAACAATTTTTTCTCACTATCATGGGAGAGGACAAGTTATCTTCTGAGACTAGGAAGGAGACAAAAAAGAAAGTAGGAAGCAAAATGCCTCTAAGAATGTTTAGGAAAAAATCAAGGCAAAGTTCAGACTAAACAAGGGTGCATTTATTTTTCCGTAGCACCTTCATGCTGAGGCACGGCACTTAAATTTGATCTTCCAGGAGTGCTACTTACTGAGATTTGCTTCCAAGGTAACAAACCATTAGGAGGGACCCTGACAGTACTTAAAAGACAAACCTTCATATTTGCATTAAGGCTTAAAGCAATATATTACCCATTTATTGTTTCTGGAAGTAGAACACAGCCTCAACTAGAGAAAGCATATATTTTTGGTAGCTTCACTAGCACGAGCAGACCTCTTCTAGAGAATCTTCTTGGGTGCTTTACCTCCAAAGCTCATTACAGTGGAAGGCACTCATTCCAGGGTCTAATGGAAACACTATGCAAACAGCCTACACCACATTATGCTTTTACCATGAGTATAATGTGTTTTTCTCTAAAATTATTTTCTACCTTAACTCTAAAAAGCAAGAAGCACACGAAACCTATGATAAATCTGAAAAGAAACTTGAACCTCTCCAACTTGAAATGCATTTTTAAATGGTAAGTTCCTAATTAAAACCAGAGACATTTCATGAAGGTATACCAATTTAAGAAAAAAAATAAAATACACTTTTTCATTTGTTTAACTCAATTGCCGTCACTTTAACCTCTGCATGCAAGGAAAAAGAAAAACATATTTTCTGCCCAAATAGAAGATCGTACATCTACAAACAAAGAACACAAGTAATACTTAAAAGAGGAGGAACCATCTTGGCAGAGGGAAAGGAAAGCATAAAGTCAGCTACATATCAGTTTCTCCCACGGAAGACTACAGCCAAATGCCATACCATAATGAGAATATCACTTAAGAAATAAGATTGTTATATGTTTGTCACATGCCCCCAATAGATCACTGTTCAGTGCTACATTCAAAATACAGCAAGGATGTCAAGAGGCAGAGAGGGCTCAGAAAAAGCTTTCCAAAAAGATCAATCATCTCTTCCCCTAGTATATTATAAAATGCTTAAAGAAGACAGAAGTTTGATAATATAAGGGAATTCAGTTTAAACGACAAAACTATCACATGATCAGAGTAAAAGGAAGTGGTCGGGACAAATGCAGAGTAGAATTAAAGCACAAATATCAACATTGAAGGTAATAAAGAATGTAATTAATTTACTCTCCTGGGAGTTTTTGAAAACCAGAAACAGACATTTTTGAAATGGTATACCCTAATTCAAGTTAGTTCATGGACTTTTTAGCTTACAAGGGGACTAGGCTACATAATTAAAATTGCTTCTCCTAGCCACACATTCCATAAACAACAGATTAAACTTTAAGATTTCAGTGTAAATAATTTATTTTGTAATTTGCTGCAAAATGATATCTAGATGAAGAAAACTGGTGTTTTATGAATTATCCAAAAGGAAGCCAATAGCAGTAGTGAAAGATTTATTTTTGTATGTGAAGTCAAAGAAGATTTCCACATGAGAAAATCCAAATGGCATAAGGAAAAATGTAGTTTGCCAATTCCTATACAATATTTTTTTTAAACACACTGCATATGTTCAGCTAGTTGTTGCTATCTCTGTGCTCTGAATTACTTTTAAAACAGGAGCTGACCGTGGCTTTCATCATGTCAAAGTTTCTTTGTCTTTTTATAGATGGGCCACAAATTCTTAGGTTTTAATTGTGGTTCTTGAAATGATGGTGGATGCTGTCTTGACCTAAAACTGTTTTTAATCCCTTTTTAACAACAAAACAGCTGTACTTATTACTGACATTTTATGTTAGCAACAGAAAAATTTCCTAGGGGAGACAATCAGTATTGTTATCAAACTGTCTCAGTGTCTATTTTCTCATCTCATCTGGAAACAACCTTTTGTTCAGGCCACGCCATTTCTCTCTGGTATAAGGCATTATAACACTATATTATTTTGGAGAGTAGTGGCACAAATTACAATACACAAGACAAATGCAATTATTACACACTGAAGACAGTAAAATGACAAGACTGCTTTCAAATCTATAAATATATACACAGCAATACCCCATGAACCAATTATCTTGTTCAGGTTCGTATGTCATTATGTATTTCTAATGCACCCTTAGGAGAAATTAAAATAATATTATGTACAAGATTGTATCAGAAGTATGATTTCTACATTAACTGTTTATGTAGTCAAAGCAAACATAAGAACATACAACCAAGATATGTATCTTTAAAAATACATCAAGTAATAGTAAGTAAACCCAGAAACAAAGGAAGTATTAGTACTTGCTTTTTTTTTAATGTTTTGAATATATGGTTTCAAGAATGCTTTCCCTGAATTTTTTTGGACATTAAAAAAAATGTCTGGTTCTAAAGTGTCTCTTGTTTGGTATGTACTCATATAAACAGAAGGATGAATCCAGGATATTATTTTGTATCCCTCATTTCCAATTTTAGTAACTGTGTTCTGTCTGGACAGAATTTTTTAGCATTATGTTATTAAGCCTATTTCAGAAAACACATTAACTCTAAGAATAATTAGTCTTTACGGGTTACAGAAGATTAGAAGCTTTCCACCAGAACACAGCAGAAGCCGGTTAGAGGAGCAAAGCTTATATGATGCATTAATGCACCAGAACCGGTGAAGCAGTCCTACCTTCTTTGCAATCCATGAAAAAAGACTATTTTGTAATATTTTCAAATATTTTTGCACTTAAACAATAGAAACAGCAGAAGCAATTTAGAAGAAGGAATTTACAGTTCCATAATTTGTCTCTGAAAGCATGTGAATTTAGAGGTTTCATGTATGCACATTAACAAGAACATTTGTTCCCTTGGACACCAGAATCCAACACACCTTTACACAAACATTTTACAAAATGTGTAAGAAAACTCTGAATGAAACCTGTTTGCACACATCATAGATTAAAGTAAACA